GGCTGGGAACACCTGAGCTGCCAGTGATGCCAGCAGAAACGTTGCCCCCGAGCACCAGCCCAACGGCCCCGTGCTCGGCTTGAGCAGCTACTGGGAACACACTCATTGCCTTAATTTATTGTCTAATGACCAGTTTTATTACTCCTTGCTCCCTTCCAAAAATCTCTCAACTCAGGAGGAAGCTTAGGATATCAATTAACCACTGGCCAGTGCTCGTGCTGCTGAGTTCCTGGTTTATGGAATCAGGGTGAGGTGGCTGAGGGAAACGGGACTGAGCTGTGGCCGTGGGTCCCAGAGCTGGGAAAGGCCCCGGGACATCCGAGGGGGCAGATGGAGCTGGTGGCTCCGGGGGGATGTGGCTGTCCCAGCGTGGCCGTGGTGCCCTGCCTGCCAGGAACAGCCACAGGGCTCCAGATGGGAAAGGAAAAGGGAGGCTCCTGTTTGTTATTTCTACAGGTGGAGATGAAGGACAATTGGACACAAAACTAACTGCTCTTTCTGTGTGTGTGAGGAGCAGAGCAGAGCTGACCCCTTAGGCTGTGCTGCAGAGGCCGTGGGGCTCAGCAACATGCAGGCATGCACAGTTCCCCTCCAGTGGGGGCTGCGACAGACCGTGATCCCAAAGGATCGGGGGGATTCTTTTCCTCCTGGGAGGATGTAGTTCAGCCTTGCCTTGCAATAGGCTGGAGCTGGCTGGGGTTTTTCTGGCCTTTATGCCCAGGTAATAATTGGACTGTTGGATCATCCAGTGAGATGCTGTTCTCCTGGGTGCTCACAGTGTGTCCCACCTGTGTCCCGTGGTGAGGAGCAAGCGCTGGAGTGGGAAGGAGGAGGCTGGGCAGAGGAACAAAGTGTGCCCTGTCCCAGGCTGGTGGACCAGAAATGAAAACCTGGGCAAACAGGGAAACGCTGTCGTGGTTCTGGCACCACAGGCACTGGAGGAGCAGCCCTGCCTGCCACGTGTCCCCACCTCGTGTCCCCTGGGGGGCCTGGCAAGGCCAAATGCCAGCGTAGTCTGTACCCATCCATACCCCCCACCGTTCCCACTCCCAGCCCACCACAGCCCATGGGCAAATGGGGCCACGGGGGGTTCTGCAGCCTGTGCTGGGGCTCCTGGGTGGTCACCCCCCCAGCACTGCCAGCACCTCGCGGTGCCCGTGCCAGGATGTCCCTGCAGGGCAGAGCGGCAGTGGTGGGGGACAGGCAGGGTCAGCACTGGCAGCTGGGGCAGGTGCTGGCGCCAGTGGGAGGCTGATAA